GTATGGTTTTTTACCATCACCAATTTGTAACCGGTTTTTGTTCACTATTAATATAAAAAGGTTTTGTAACGTTTTATAACGGCCGTGTAACAACTTTGTAACTTATGTTTTATCAATAAAATTATAAAGGTCATTTTAACGGCTGTTTTTTTCGTTTGAATATAAAAATTTCAAACCACAACCCTTGAAGACAATGAATTAGAAAAGAGAATTTCCTTTCCTTCTTATTTTCTTTTTTCACTATGTTATACACATAATGTTGTTCATGTTCCTTCCAATAGTCAGTGCGGAGTATAAAAGAAGGTCTGTTGTATCTTGGGAGGATAGCCACTAGAGCTTTACGCACCGAGTTTCGTACTCCGAAGGACAGAATTATCCTTAAGGATAGTGCTTGCACGCCTTAAACATTTTGATATTATTTTCTCATCTTTTTCAATAGGATTCCAACAATTATTATTTTTCACATCATCTAACATTATTCCGATAGCCTCGTCTCAAAGCCTATCAGAAAATTGAAATGCAGACAAACAAATGGATTGTAAGAGTAGTATGCTACAACAACCTTTACGTGTCATGTAAAGTTTCTTTTAGCTCGCAGCTGGCTTTGTTTGTCCCTCCAATGAGCTGCCACGGAACAAAAGATCATCACAAAAGCCATTCACCAAAGACTTGAGCAGGAAAAGAAGGTGCATTTTTCCGAGTTCACTTCACAAGCAGTTGATGACTAAACATCCATAGCACTTTCCTCCAATAAAGATGTCATTTCAAGAAATTTGTGCATCAGAAATATTCCTAGTCTTAGCTGAATTTTGAGGTGTATGCTAACCAAAACCAAAACGAGGAAGTCCAGGCAGGGACGACCCCACCCATAAATAAAAAAACATAGAATTTAAAAGATCCAGGGCATTGAACGAAAACGATTGGAGTCCACAGGTGAAAGCTTCCGATTCAAAGGCATGCTCAGCTGGAAAATGCAGCCCTGCCTCAAAGGCTGCAGTAGACCTTAGCTTTGAACCCCACTAAAACCCTCTGCCGCTTTTACAAAAAAGATGCATATCTTTTATTTGCACCTTGACGCTAATCCTAGGGACATGAATTGAGTACGATAATTATGAAAGCAATAACATCTTATTATTGAAGCATCAACCAGACTGTGGCTGTGACTGCGTTGCTAATCAAATTCAAAGTACCAAACATTCAGTTTTTGATAGTACCTAAATTAGGTGACAGCAATAAGGTAAAATAGAAAGAATCTATTTCACGTACACAGATATAAGCTTTCGACTTGTAAGCATGCGATTTAACATTGTCGTTATTGAACGCGTACATACGAATTTAATCAACCGCCCAAGTGGAGAAACCTAAGCACGGACCAGGGCCCTCCCTTTCAGCCAGGGATGAATGCCAAAGTGAATGTCGTTAACTTGACCGAAATCAACTGCAGGTTGATGTTTGAGATTGTTTTAGTTGTCTTCGAGGTTGCTTTTTGTTGTCCTGTCTTCCTTTGTTTTTAATGTTCTGTAAGAGAGAGTGTGATATGCTGTGATTTTCGCATGTAATGGAATTTGTCAACCTGTGGCACTGATGGAGAAAGAGGATTACAATAAGCTCGGAAGAGTACATAAAACAGGAAGAAGGGGGAAAAAAAGAAAAGCTTTGGCATGAACTATAGAGCGTTCCAAACTGAATTAGACTTCTGAGTGATCTTGACTTGCTATGACGAAAATGCTTCCATCGCAAGCAAGCATATTAGACACAACCCGATTGCATGCGCATAAAAATTACAAAAAAAAATAAAGAAAGAAATAAAATTTTCAGTCCTCAAGATGTTTCGCCATTACTCACCAAAACAGCAACTCCTACTCGAACTGCTGTGACATAAGTTAAAATATTAATGCGGAAGACGATAATTGGGGGATTTGAGTATATTTTGATATATAGAAAAGGGTTTCATGGAGAGCCTATTTATAGGCTTAGATAGAGGAAATCAAATCCGATATGTATAATCAAAAGAGATATAGAAAATCGGTGGAAATATCCTAAATATTACTAGAAGATTTCTAAATATCTCCAACAACATACATGAAATTCTAATCTCCTACAGTACAGTACCCTGTTGCCATTAGCAAAACGAATCAAACGAGCTGAACACTTCAGTAATTGAGGTTTACTTTCAGGTGTAGTTTGGGCTTCGGCTTAGATAGGTTGGGGCTGAAGTTTGGTTATATTTACTAAGCCCACTTGTATGTCCTTGTGTATCCCAATTAGTAGGCCTTGATTAGGTTGTGTTATTTTAGTGATAAATGTAGCTTAGTTTTATTTAGTTAGCATACATTTAGTTTAGGGATTGTAGTGAGCACTTTTGATATGAGTTTAGTTTTAGTAGATTGATCTTTTAGGTAAGGAGTTGGACTCAATTTGAAATTAGCTCACGGGGTTGCTGTCCTGGGGTTTTAATAACAAGGCAATGCTTGGTGCTTTTATTGAGTCTACTTTCATACACTTTACTTTTCTCGTATTGGTTGTAACTATCTACTTTTCCTTGATTGCGCACTCATGCAGGGACATCATTTAGTGACATACGTGAATAAAATGGTCATAGATAGCCTGACTCATTTAGGTAACAAACCAATCAGGTTAGGACATCGAAAAGGCACTAGTTAGACAATTAGTGTAACCAAGTCTCAACCCTAGATCTCTAGTTGCATAGGAAGTGAGGTATGCTCCCGTACCTCATTTGGTTGCTAGCCGACCTTTGTTAGGCTAGTGGCGGCTCCTAGTAAGTTGAACTTCATTGATAGATCGGTGTCAATTGTAATTTTCAAATGTCGCACGAGGTAAACCAAGCACCAAGGGGAAGAGCACGGGATAAGATGTTGGATTTCCTCTATCTTCGTACCTTGTTCTTCAGGCGACCGGAGGAAGATGATAGTACCCTGGGTCTGGGAGCTAGCTGTTGTCCCTAATTCTGGGTATTACACACACACATATTTATAGTAACCTGGTTTCATTATCGTTTGAGCAACATTCATTTCATCAGGTAAATTTTCTTAATTAGTAAGCTCGTGAGGGAGCTTCAACAACTTTTAACTTGAATCCAGTATCCATTTTAGCCGCCAAATTAAAGATACACAGATGATGAAGTTTTTCGTAAAAACTTACAATTTTTTTTTACCATAACATCTACAATGGGTTTTCAAGAAAGAATCAAGTTACATATGTCCTCAATAAATCACAGATTAAGAAAATGTGCTTATCCTCTTGCTCGAAAAATGCTGGAAAATTGTTGATACTGATTTTATTGGAGCAGAGCTGGATTGTTTCCTCATTTTCTAATCTTCTTGGAGCTATCAATGCTGCAGCCATCCCTCTATACTGAAAGTCCCTAATCCTTCAAAGACGACAGAGATTTAGACCAATATCATGCTGCAATGGCGGTCTAAAAATGTACAACTACGATATTTTCTCAGACTGAAGAGGATTCTGCCTTCTTTTATAGCTCAAAATCTGAGCGATTTCATAGAAAGGAGGAAAGTTACAGATAATATACTGCTCCCTCATGAAACTGGGAAGTACCTTCATAGAAGAAGACTTTCATCCAGATCCTATGTAAAGGCTGATATCGGGAAAGCACTTGACCCTGTCAATTGGGTTTTTGTTCTTGATGTTTTGATGACTATTGGAGTTCCTACCGGCTTTGTTGGTTAGATAAAGGCATGTTACATAGCCTTGGATTTGTCGCATAATTCTCTATCAGATCAGGTACCGGAAATTGTCTCTGGACTTGAAGATCTAACTGAGTTGGACTTGCTGTACTACTGCTTCTCTGGATATATCTCTAAAAAACAGGGCTACTGGAGATTTCCAGGAGCATTTGCTGGAAATCCAAACTTGTGTGTGGAGTCTTCAACTGGAGTTTGTGGCCAGGAAAGCGTGCCAGTCGTACCTGGTAAGACATTTCAGGAAGAGATGGTTGAAGGACTGATTTCCCTGTCAGTGTTCTTGCTAAGTGCTGCCATCACTTTCTACTTCAGTATCGTCTCTCTGTTTTGTTTGGCCCGCGCTAAAAGATACATTCTCGACACCAAGCCAGTCTAAGAGAATGAACCTCAGAGCATATATTCTTGCTGCTTTAGTGACAAATCGGCCTGGGTTTTCTCCTTAGAACTCTTTACTCAAAATATTACTGTTCAACTAGAATATATGCCTTCATTACCTCACTATCAGATATTGAATACTAGCCGTATGGAAGCGGAAACTTAGAATTCGGTCAATGTAGAGTAAGCATTTGATGGCTTTTACTTATGCTGCTGAATTTGAACTGGAATAGGGATTTGATAGCTTTTAGTTTCGCTGCTGGACTCTATCTGCATCTTCACCTCTCATATAGAGTTCGCTCTTAGTCGAAAATTGCCTAATTGACAATTGGAATACCTATGCAGCATTGTCTTATTCCGAAATATCCATGAGTAATGATGGCTGATCGTAGTATGGTTTGCTAATTAATTTAGCTAATGTCAAGGCTAATTCAATTAACCATCTCCAATTACAAATGAATAAGCCACACTAACACCGTCAGTTTTGTGAGTCATTTTCAATCTTAAGGTGGGAATTGTTCTGCTAAATTCAGAGTAAGAACAAGATTCTTTGTTTGAGAAAATGTAAATTGACGCGGGATCCAAAGATCCTGTAAATTGGTAGTTGGCTATGTCACAAGATTCAACAAATTCAAGATTTTGAGGCAACACCAACAACCTAGACACACCGATACACCTGTGCCAGCATTTAGAAGTGCGTGTGCCAAGACAAACATAAACACCCTGTGTGGGCATGCTCGCACGCACGGTCGAGAGAGAGAGAATGAAAATGTTAATGGTTTTAATGAAATATTTACAGTTAGCTATCGCTTTAATACAAAATAGAATAGCCAGAGATAAGTTCATCTATGCAATTATTAATAGAAATATGCCGCCCCAGGAAGATTACTCTTTAGTCTTCTCCTAAATGGCACTGTTGTCATGGATGTAGCTGTCGAGAAAAGGAACATCTTCTCCAAACTCAAGATCCTCAAAGATATTCTGCATTAAAGACAAAATTAATAGTCATCAGAATGAGTTGTCATTGCCGATCGCTATATTGAAATTAAACTGACCGACCAAATCTGGAGAAGAGCTCCAGGTACCAAATCAACTAACCGGATCAAGCATATTTTCAAACATAGCCTCGCTACCATACAATTGGCAGTCCTCAGCAACGGTATAATGGTTGTTCCGGTAAGAGAACTCTCCTTTGACCGCGACTATATTGCTGCTGCAGAATTCATTCGCGTTAGCTTCGATGGTGCTGAGGGCTCCAGGCAGACCCTGCTCAGAAGCAAAATGGGGAGTACCAGAACTGAGGTTTTGAATGTCATGAGTTGAAATCTGGCTATGCAATGGATGAGGCTGAGTAGTGGCGGAAAGATAGCGTCTTGTAGCTGCAGCTTCATCCAAGATCTGCATATTTGAAGGTGTTTGGGACATCTGCATGATGAGCGAGTTGTCACTTTGATTAGGAAGAACTGAGTGTGTGTTAATATTCACTTGTGAGGTGAGCCCAACGGATGGCGTAGGAGCATAGGTTAGGCATTGAGCTGATTCATTGGCTTGCTGTTGGCAACCGTAGTTCTGGAGAAGTGGATTCGGTTGCTGCAACAGCGCAAGTGGTTGTGTTTGGAGCCCCATTTGGTACCTTGGGAGCGCGTAATTATTTGGTAACTCAATAATATTAGGCCTTCTCATGCTACAACCTGTGCACGGCTGTCGAGGGGCGATCCTCATAGCTTGCGATGGATATTGAGCTGAAGCAGCACCATTTTGGGTACGGCCACACCCAATTAATGACAATGATGGTGGAGTGGAATGAGTCGGATTGGTGAGAGAAGAATGTGCACTTTGATGCTTTGAGGCTTCACCTATCTTCTTGGTGTTCATACGGTGTTTCTGCGCAATTAACGAGCTTGATTTAATAAGCATTTCTCACAGAAGTTCATGGAATAAATACAATTATTAAAGCACTGATATGTTTTCCCCAATTGTTTGCTCTTGATCTGTCTGAATGAGGTTGAATTAGGGACTCTTACCTGAAGGTGGCTGGAGACATTTTGCCGAGTGAGATGAGGTGCACCCGTCATTTTCCTCATAATTTGCAGTATCTTCTTAGGTTTGGCATCTGCATCCCGTCGTATGGAAACACATCGGTCAGGTCAACCGTTATCTCACTCAAAAAAGGAGAAGCCTTATAAGTCAAGCTACTTGAAAAATCATCACGAAACAGGTTCATGAACACATCACGTACCATCGATTCCAAGACTATTGACAGCCATGACAAACATCCGGTTGAGCTCAGGTGTCCAAACCACTCGAGGTTTCTTCCCCCCACTTTTAGTCCGGCCTTGATCAGCTTCATCTTCGCTGCTCATTTTCAAGCGTTTAGAATTCTCTTCCTCGTTCTCTGCTTGAGAATGAGTGTTGTTAGATGACGTTGTGGTCGAACCATGCAGCATCTCCAATTCTTTATTAGAATTGTTCCTCAACGATGGGTTGCTCCAAAGAACATGTCGCCATAGAATCTTGAGAGTGTTGATTTGAATCGGCTTCACTAGAAAATCGCAAGCCCCGCTTTTCAATCCTTTCACGACAGTGTCCTTTTCGTCATCACTTGAAAACACTAGCAAATTCAAACAACAAAAAACGTGAATATATCTATCACGTTACATTCCATAAATTTATGAGTCTGGCTTGAATTAATTGACATATAAGAACTTACTGACTACAGGCAAGGTTATCTCCATGTTAGCGATCTCGGCAAGAAGCTGAAGTCCATCCATCCCAGGCATTTGAACATCTGTCATTACGATATCGAACCCACCCCTATTCTCTCGAATCAACAACAACGCCTCCTCTCCTCGCTGGCACTTGGTCACTGTAAAAAATACATCGTACCTGTCATATATGCAGATTCTTGACTAACTATGTTCACAGGACGCATCCCAAAATTGAAACTTGGCGATTTGAACATCAACCCGCGATCAAGGAAGCGTGAAACTAATTCCTGGACTACTTCGAGTACAAAAGTGAGAATTCTCTCATCTGCAGTTCAGTTGCGATGATTTATTACACGTACCGCCAGTATACCGCAGGGATGGACTCGTAAAACAACATAACCACACGCATTATTGCAGACGCGAAGTTGACGTTGAGAGAAGAGAAAACACGAAGCAGTGCCGTGAAGTTACCTTGGTACGAACAATCTTGAAGCATCTTCTCCAGAAGGTGGAGACAGGCGACATTGTCGTCGACCACAAGAACCCTTAAACCCTTTGGGAATTGATAACCATCCTCACTCGAGACATTACTATTCTTGTTTGGGGTCACCCCTTCCATCAGCTCCGTTTTTCTTCGACTGCTCTGTTTTTTTTTCTTTGGAGACGTCACACTCTCTCCCGAGACTGTCAAGACAGGGGAGAGACAGAACTTGATCGACACTACTTAAGGACAATTTAACCATGGCAAGCCTTGAGCGCAGGAAGGATCAAGCTGGTTTATTTCCTGATTTGAAATAGGAAATAACCAAGAAAGGCAATTAACAAAAGACAGAATCAATAATCTGTGCCTTGGAAGATCTTTGCGTTTACCAAAGTCAAAAATTTCTTGTTCTATACAACTGTAAAGAAAAAAAAAAAAGGGAAACTTGTAGCCTAACCAGCCCTACTCTTCAGTAGCTCTTAATGGTTCGTTCGAGGGATACTTTCCAGGCAAGAAAAGGTTGAGACCCCCTCACCTTTGCTTTTGCAGATGATCCGGCTGGTTTTCTAAATATTAACGTTCCGAGATCCGGATGAAGCCTTTCAAGAACCTGCTTGGGTCCACTCTTGCGAACAATAAACATGAGATAAAGTTAAGAATACTTTCCACGACCATTTACGATTACAAGCATAATAAACATGAGATTAAAGCTTCTGTTGCCTAAATAAATATGCTTTTTCTCTCCCCCATAACTATTTCAATTCGAATTTCCTCACATTATTTCTTTTTAAGCACGGTTAAAAAAATTTTAAAATACTTTTTTTGGCACGCTCGTGCCAATGTGCTCTTTCGCTTGTTTTCCAAACTAAATTTTGTAAATAAGAAATGAGAAAATCTTTTTATTAAAAGGAAAATGCCATAAAAAAATCACAAATAATATCCATTGTAACACATTTATCCTGAACTTACTATGTTCATTGTAACAAATTTACCCTAAATTTTTTCTTTAACCCAAAACTCATACCTATATGACACATTTCCCTTTCGTTAAAGATCTATTAGATAATTCTTCAACCAAAACAACATCGTTTTTAATTCGCTTACCATGTCAACACTATCTACTTTCCAGGATCTGTATGGGCAGGGTTTTTTAACGATTTTCCTTGACAGAACTTTGATGGAGAGTAAATGTGTCACATAGGTACAAATTTGAATTTGTGAGATTACGGAAAAATAAAATTACGGTTGGCATAATGTAGGGTTTTCGGTGGCTTAACTCTTTATTAAAATACAAATTACAATCTTAAAGATCAAACAGAAGTTGTAGAGAGTCCACTAGATCCGGTCCAATCCAAACCCATCCCTCGGTCCGGTTCACCCAACCGATACTGCAATACATCTCTCTCTCTCTCTCTCTCTGCATCGATAACTTTCAATCGCGTCCGTCGTCGTCGTCTTCTCCACTTCGTCACTCCACATCCCCGGTCTCTCTCCGGCGAACCCCCCCACCGGAAAACTCGCCATGAACCTCTTCAAATCCGCCTTCTCCGACGACCCAGATCCCCCGAGACCCGCCCGACCCGAATCGCCGCCTCCCCACGACGATGCGTCACGAGGAGGAGGAGGAGGAGGAGAAGCGGAGGAGGCGGCAGAGGAGGAAGCTGGTCGAGGACCCGACCGCCCGCCGTCCAATTCACGGTGGGGCGGCCTGGGCGGCCTCGTGAAGACCCTGACGACCAAGTCCGAGTCCGTGCTCGAGACCTACCGCCGCGACCTCCAGGAGTTCGGGCTGGGCCTGAGGAAGGAGATCCAGGTGGCGCACGGCTCCCTGGAGAACGTCGGCCAGGCCATCGACGAGCTCGGGTCCTCCGTCCTCAAGGGCACGGCCCAGATCATCTCCCAAGGTAAGGACGCCATCCTCGCCGCCGATCTCAATCCGGATTCCTCCGATCAGGGTCATAGCAATGTCGGCAATAGTGGCCAGCAATCTTATGCGAGGTACAGTAGGCTGGATGCGCAGGTCCGCGCGATCCGGGCCGATGCCGGCACCTTCAGCGAGGAGCCGGAGGATTCGGAGGATTACGGCGGGTGGAAATCCGGGTTCCGTTTGGGGGAGAAGAGGGAAGAAGTCGAGAAATTGATGGAGGAAGATGGGCCTGTCAGGGGATTTTACTATAGGCTAGTGCCGGGTAGCATCGATGGCGATACCTTCTGGTGTAGATACTTTTATAGGGTGCATAAGCTTGAGCAGGCTGAGAATGTGAGGGCTAGTCTTGTGAAGAGGGCGATTTCGAGCGAAGAGGAGGAGCTGACTTGGGACGTTTATGATGACGACGACGATGAAGTCGATGTTGAGAAGGAAGCGAAGAAAGGAAGTAGATTGAGTGACGTGGTGTCCGCGGAAGCGGTTCGAATGGACGATGATGAAGATGGAAATTTGGGGGAAGCTGTGAAGGAGAAGAAGGATAGTTCTTCTAAGGAGGAAATGGAGTCGGCTTTGGGGATGGGCAGTGTGGAATCAAAGGATGCCTATGGGGAGGAAACAGGGGATAGAACCGGCAGGAAAATTGGGAAGTCGGGTAGTGATTTGCATCCGACGAAGTTGAACATTGAAGACTCAGAGGAACAGAACAAGGAGAATCAGGGTGGGGAATCACGAGTTAGTCCGACTCCTGAAGTCGTCGATGAGAAGGTAGAGATTGTGGGCGGTGAGAATAGCCGTGAGGGTGTCGCTCTTGTCTCAAATGACGGAAATGCGCCTGAAGATGATGTGCATACGGGAAAGATTTCTGATGTCGACAGCAGAAATTCTTGGTCAGGGCCCCGGGAGAATTTGGCCTCAAATGCAATGGTCGAACCTGGAAAATCGAAAGAGAGCAACCCTGCAGCTGCATTGAGCAATCCATCGGCAGCCGAGGAGGAGGACCTCGGTTGGGATGAGATTGAGGATCTTAGCAGTATCGATGATCAGAAAGCCGCTCCAGGCGGGACTCCGACCGCAAATAGGGCTGATCTGAGGAAAAGGCTGAGTGTTGCAGAGGAGGAAGAAGACTTGAGTTGGGACATTGAAGATGATGATGAGCCTGCGAAAGCTTGATCGGATCTATCGCCGCGTCCCGATTCCTTCCGACGTATTAAGGTTATGCAAGTTTGTTCCCAGGAGGATGTTTCATTTCCGACTTCCATTGTTAGAGATGCATTTATTTCTCTCGAACTGTGCGTCTCCTGTATGCCTTGTGCCTTGTTCAACTGTCGTAAAACAGTGTTCATAAAATGGTTCTCTTTATTAATATAGTATGCAAACATTGTTAATATAAAGAAATCTAGCGTTTCTACGATTATGAAAACATTGCCAAGAAAGGTGTAAACAAATAAGAACTCAAAATTCAAGTTTAATGGAATATGTACATATGAAAACAGGTTTCTATAGGTAAAAGCTCACACGTTGTTGTGCCATGTATGCATAATCATGCGTAAATAGTACCCCATTTTTTATTGATATATACCGATCGAAATTCGATACATGTGCACGTATTAAATGATTTACTGATCACTTTTTAGGATTTTTAATTATGTACCTACATAGTTTTGATGAATTTCTAACCCATATGGTTTTTAAAGATCTTTTATGTTCATGCGTGTGTTTCAAGAGTGTGTTTGCGTGCTTATATAATTTATATACATTGCCAAACTTTTCCATTGATGTATAGAATTGAAATCATATTCCTTGGTCCATGAAATCACTCGTGAATTTCTCGTGTACATAGCTTTCTATTATGTTCCAAGAGATTATACACATTGCAAGTTTCTTCCAACAATATGTTGGAAAAAAAGAATACGTCTTTCTTGATATTTTACATGTTAGGATTTCCATATTTCCATAGCTTATACTTTCAATTAGTTGACACATTATCATTTAGTCATTAATGCTCTTCATATGTCATATGGCTCAATCATTGACGCACATATGAAAGGAGCACCTATTTGATTTCTACTCGCGGGATAGCGATGTTTTACCGAGCTTTCCCGTCTTGTGTTAGATAACTTAGGGAGGTTCGTTTTCACGGTTCACATCGATCATCAACATCAAATAGAAATTACAATTTCGATGGACATATATATCTAGTAAAACTTCAACAAATGGCTGATACCATTTTAGTTTGAAGGGTAAAGACCAAAAAACCTATATGGCAAGTCTTGACAGACAACCTCATTTCACGCTTCGATATGTATATGCAAAGAAAGCCCCAAGTAATCACTTAGAATCATCTCACGTTATCATCGTTAAACACAGCAAAACTTCATGGTCAGAGTGAGATGAAAATTTTGCACTCAAAAAACTTCATATTCGACCAGCAATAATGAACAAGGGAAAGGGATGAAACCAAAAACCATTTTTAAGTTAGAAAATTCCTACCACAAAAGCTCATTCAACGCTCGAAACTCCAAAACCGGAACTACCGCCAAGCCTCTACATTTCGTTGCATCCGGGAGAAGAAGGAAAATACACGGGACTGATAACTAGAGCCTCGTCTGATCATCGCAGTGATCGCAGAGGGAAGAAAGATGGAACTGGACAAGAGAAAGAGAATGCTCTTCTAGCAGTACCTAGGCCTCGAGTTTATACATCGAAGGGGAGACTCCTGAGAGCAGGCGTGAAGCTATTAGGTGGAAACCAAATTCCCTTCACAGCCAATGCTGGCTCTAGAAGAGGACTCTGCTACGTGGTGCCGTCCCTTCTGTGCGCGCGGCGGAAGATGCTTGGTGGGTTTCCGTGCTCCTAATGCCCACGGCAAGAAAACGCCGGTGCCGCCGTTTTGCATCTTTTTAGGGCTCAAAACCATGGGGCTTACCGGGGCTAGCATTACCACTGGTGCTCGGAGGACTCCCCATTTAGGCATCATATCGACTGCCTCGTAAGCACCGAGACCTCCGCTTGGCATGGCGAAAGGGCTTGGGTTGGTTGCTTGCCATAGAGTCATGGAGCCAGAAAGAGGACTCGATGGTTGGCCTTGGTTGCTGTCTGGTCGGACCCGGAAGAATGTGATGGTGACCCTCTTGTTTGGAGAAGGGCATGTCACATGTCTTGCCATGTCTGCACTGTTACCCCTCATCACCAAAAGAGACCTGTGGAACAAAGAAAATGATCTACCTATTCATCTCGCATAAAACTCAGATACACTATTCTCACGCGATTGCTTTTTTGCACCTAAGTTGAAAATGATTACGAGCATGATTTGAAAGATGAGTGAAGAGTATTGACCAGCTATACATGAAGAATATCAGCCAAGTACTCACCCTTCTTTCAATGGAAGCATGAGTGGTCCTTTATAGTTGCCTTCATTGTCGCTAACAAGAAACCGGCCAAAAACCATGGTTGATTCAGAGAGGAGAAGAGATGATATGGGCTGGTCCAAATGAGGAGGCTTTAGGAAGGGCTGAGAATACTCTTCCTGCATTAGAGTCACTTTGGGATCACATGCTATTCTCTCAACGATTAGTAGGAAATACAGAACAGAGAACTTGAAATAACCATACTCAGCATATATCCTCCCACCAATCTCGAACCATATCTTAGATGAACATGTTGGGGCAGCGAAACAAAGTGTACCTCGTCGAAGAAATTAATGATGCAACTGTTTGGCTTTTTGTAAACAGGTATTAGCTGCCATTCAACCAGATGATCTATGACACGTTCCAGAAGTGCTGGAATCGGCTCTATGTTACCTTCGAATACAACAGATTCATCAGATTGAACGTTGGAGAGCGCTCCTTTTTCAATGGGGATAAATTTATCCGAACGTGGTGCAAGTTACCTGCTTTGCTGTTGCATGTTGCTTCCTCTTGTATGTGTCCAAAAATAGGGACCCCAAATTGGATTAACTCTCGTTTGTTTCCTTTCATCTGCTTGTTAAATAGAATATAGGTTTCACCTGTAGGAATTGAAGATTTGCTCAGCACGTCATAAGCAGAAAAACATTTCAGAACAGAATTATGGAAAAGCACGCAATAATCATGGTATGGCTTGTTCTCTAAGTAGGTGAAACAACGAAAATAAGCAATCGAAGCTGCCCCTTGGAAGGTGCATAAAGTCATGGTGAGGTTACTGGAGACAAGGTGAAACCATGGAAAAAGCAAAAGCATCATTAGACAAGTTTAGTTGTAAATTGCAAGACTGAAACTCCTATCTAACAAAGGATTTCACGTGCAGCGGCACTACGAAATGAAACCACTTTGAAATAAAAATGCCATGCTTAAAAGCATGAAGATTTCGCCTCGATATATTCATTTGTTCATAATTGCCACGAGTTTGCAGCCTCTGGGGCTGTATCTATCTGTCTTGCATATAAAACTACAATTACAGGCAATTCATTTATCCTTATCCACGATGCCCTCTACAGAAAGATGAAGGGAAGCTATTCAAATAACCTGAGAGTTCTCCATTCTGACCAGCTGCACGGAGGTCATTGACAAAATCTGTCAGCTTAGAGAGCTCTGAATCGGTGAAAACGTTCTCATATAGCTTCAACCCTTTCACAACATTGACCTGCCAGTCGAAGTTCGTTCCATCAGGGATTGAAAGCCACTTTTTTTTTCATGCACTCCGTAACCTATTCCATCTGAAATTCCTTTTCAAGGAAAAGAATGCGCTTAAATTATGAAAGAAATGGACTCGCCATATGCCCTTTCACTGGCTCCTTGGCAGTAAAACCTTTTGTCAGCTTGATTTGAGCTGCTCGTGCCTCGCAGAGTTCATGGTTCGAGCATATGTCGAGGTTCTCCAGTGCAGGCTGCATCTCATGGGATCCTGCCATTGAATTAAAACAAACGCGGTCAATCAGTCATCGTTACCCCGAAAGAAGGACCATACGGATGGGTCGATCAAAAGCCGAGAAGACTCTCCCCCATGGCGATTCACATTTCATGTCCGACCAAAAGCACGCATTTCGAATCTTCCGGGTTACACGCGGGGAGTTTGTAGAAGCTTTTAGCTTAGCATTAGTATGTCACAGCATAGATACTAATGAAATGGAGCATAAAAAAATCACTCATTCACTTTCTCAGTGCAGAAAAGAAAATGCAACTTTACGTACTAGTGTAGATCACACTCTGTTTTGTTAAAACATTAACTTACCAATCCTTTTTTGACCGATAAATCAGTAGTTAACCAACCAAAAAATAGATATAAATCTCGGTTAATCGACTTATCGACGACTATGACGAAATCAAAAAGGAGAAAACTCAAAAGTTGGAACTCAATAAATAAAAAGCTCAATAACCATATAGAGCTCTCTCAACATCCACCTTTTCCACGGAACTTAACTCGCCATGAGAAGTCCAGAAATCCGTTTATTATTCCGGCATGCATTATCGTAGCGAAATTTCACACGTAATTTTTACAATTAATATACTGCGAGAGAGAGATAAATAAAACCTTCCGAGGAAGAACTGAGCAGGTAGAGTTACGGGACATGCTAAAAAGGAATTTCGTAAATTCCTAAACTCGCACCATCAAAACTCACAATCCACGCCTCCTTTCCTTTATTTTCTTCTTCGGGTCGAACAAAGCTCAGGACATAGTACGAGGTTTTTCCATGGAGCAAGCACAACATACCCCAAAATTAGAAGAAGAAAATGGTGGAGACTATTACATATTCATACGTACGTACGTAGATTGGGCAGAAAGCAAAGGAAGCAGTGCCCCAAAAGGAGCACGAAAGTTTGTCGTTTTGGGGGGGTTTCTGCCGGCGTCGTTTCTATTTTTAGGCGCTGCCCACCTCTCCCCTCAGAAAACCCATCCGCTGGCTCTTTCGGCCACGTTTTCGGATTCGGGTTCGGGTTCGGGTCTCTTTTTCTCCGCATTTTTACCCGCCCCACCAACCCCACGCCCAAAGCGGACCGCGGACCGCTGACCGAACCCCACCCTCCCGAGCTGACCCGCCAACTCGGTCGCCGGTCAGACCCGGGGGACCAAGAGACCGCCGTGGGGCCCCCCACCACCCCCCTGCACCATCGCCTCGTAAACCTCAAACCCCCCCCCCCCTGCACCTACCCACACATGAAAACCTCGGGAACATAAAACTCATAAAACTAGCCTTTCTACTCTCTACGCCTTGTCGTTTCGGCCCGACCCCCGGCTCCTTTCTGGTGCCCTGCCTACACATGTTCAACGAAAAAAATCTTCCCCCCACCCACCCCCGAAACGTCAGGGGTCGTTTCTGTTCCGTTTCGATTTTTGAAAATTTTATTAGGTTTAAGGAACTATTTTATTCAGAAGGGCGAGGTTCACCAAAACGCCGAGTCCCCCCCCCCCCACCCGCTCGAATCAAAAGAACCATGGCTAGACAGATCGCGAACCTCATCTACCGTCGCCGGCCGACACGTCGAGCTCGAGCTCCATTAAGGAAAATTCAGGTTAACACGTGGTGACCCGTATCATCAAATCTTGGATCTGACTCCCTCCCCTGGGAGAACGGAACACCAACGTGTTCGATTTGACCCCCTATCTAGGTGGTCTCACATGAACTCGGAAAGCCAAAAAATATTATTTTCATTTTAAGAAAAAAACAAAATGATGGCGGATAGTTTAATGTCTCGTGGTCGCCTCGGCATGTGGTGCGGCCATAAATTATTTTCCTTTTTTTCAGGGGTTTCTTTAATCCCCCCGAAAGAGATGGGAAAAAAAATGGAAAAATGAAAATTAAAGTCGGCCCGATTTTCTTTCCGTTTCTTGACCGGTGCTACCTTTCCCTTCCCTTCCTCGGCGGCCGAACGGAATCGCGACGGCACCAGTTCAAAGATTTCTCGGAAAAGGTGATCGGGAGCAAAGAGATTGGGGAACCCAAAATTCATGGAGAAAATGCTTGGCTCGATCGGTCAAATTCGAAATAGAACGCGCACGACGACGAGAATTCTCGCCGGGAACTCGGCTCTCCGGACGTCGGATTTCAAAAAAAAAATGGGAAGAAGGGATCGCGAGCTTCGACTTCAGGTGACATAACGGTGACCGGGAAAAGGTTGACCTCGTTCGCGGATGGCGGAGTTTACCAACTCGACCACCGTCGGAGGGAGAGAATTTGACTTACCTGAATCAGTAATGTCGCTGTCCGGCGAATCGTCCTCCTCCTCCTCCTGCTCCTCGTCGTCCCCGTCGATGACCTCGCCGTTGGCGCTCCCGTCGCAATTATCCTCCATCGCCTTCGCGCCGGCGACGAGCTCTCCCTGCTTCTCGCCGTCCGCGCACGCCTCGTCTCCCTCCTTCGCCTCCTCCTCCTCCTCCGGCTCCTCCTCCCCGCCGCCGCCGCCGCCCCCCGCCTCCTTCCTCGACGCGACGCGGTCCAGCTCCACCGCCACGTCGGCGATCGAGTGGTACTTCTGCATCTGGAGCACGGGGATCCAGTTCATCCTACGCCGGTGCACCGCCGCGAACACCGCCTCGTACCCCGGCCCCCCGCCGCCGAGCCGCGCCAGGTGGCCGCAGAGCGCGTCGATGATCGCGTTGGCCGCCGCGAACTCGCCCCGGAACCACGCGACGACCGAGTCCCGCGCGAGCGCGTCCGCCGCCAGCATCGCCGGCTGCTGCTGCTGCGGCGGCGGCAGCATTGGAACCGGCGGGGCCCTGTCCTCCGCCGCCGCCGCCGGCGAAGCGGGACCTGCTACTACAGCCATCGGCATCGGGGGGGTGGGTTCCGCGCTTGCTGCGAGTGTTTGCGCAGCTGCGTCGCTCCGTTACGAAGTTGAGATTTTCGGGTGGGTTTTCGGAGTGTTCCGTTGGTTAAATTTGACCGAAATACGGGTGATTTGCAACGTCTATATATCGCAGCAGAGAAAGAGAGAGAAGGAGAAACGGTTGAAGGAGATGGCGTGGCGTGGAGCTCAAAGAAGGGTGGCTTTTTGTTTTTTTTCTTCTTCCTTTTTTTTTCATTTTTTTTTATTTTTTTTTGGGGGGCGGGTGGAATTTATATTATGGAGGAGTTTAGGGGGGAGGAAGTTGGGTTGTGGGGGAGTTCCGTACGGGCAGGGGGCCCCACGGGGGATGACATGGCGGGGGGGAGGGGCATTGAAAAGTCGGTGACGTGGCAAGGAAATGGCGGTATCGGGGGGCGTGAAGGTTTGTTAGGCTTTAAAAGGGCTCTAATATTTTCTCCTTAGATTGCTGGAGAAGAGGGAGGATGGTTAGAGCCTTCGGAGACTGCCGTTGAGAGGAAGGTGGGGCGGGGGGACCGAAATCGCGGTTTTGTGTTGGAGTTGTGTGTTGTGGACTGATGGGCACGTGGAAACCAAAAAAAAAAATTCTGACCCCAAAAAAAAAACAGATTAGAAAAAAATGATAAATAAATAAGAAAGGCCAACGTTTTTCGTTAATTCCATAAGTTTCCCGATTAGCTAAAAAAGCTCAGAGACCTTCGCTCGTAACTTCAAGTGATTTCATGGACTCGAACGCTCGTTTTCGTAGGATAAGAGATGGGTTCCGATTCATCGGCCGCTAATTTTATCACGAGCACCGAAAGTAAATGCAATTTCCCTCGTGATCCAATATGCCGTAAGCATGCATTACCGGTGGTATGCGGGCGTTCCTTGCCATGGAAACACGGTGTTTTTCGGTTCGCATCGTACCAAACGTAGAGTAGTTTGAATTGTCATCCCCCCATTAGATTTAGTAGAGATGGTGTCCGAAAAGGCGAGTCCAAAAAAGAACGATCCTACTTCGGAGTTTCCCTCGTCCATGATTTTTCCCACTTACCCGTCGCCAGTCTCGTACCTTCACCGACGACGTCCGCCTCGTTAGGGTTTGGCGTGGAGCTCTTCAAAAACACGCGCATGGGGGAAACCAGCCCCCAATCTGTCCAATCGTGATGCTTTTGTAACTTTGCGGGTAAATGAACGCTTTCCAAACAAGCAAAAACTAAAATTTAAACCCCGGTCATAGCAGCCCAACAAATGGTCAGAAGGGAGGAAAAGCCCCGGTCAAAGAGCTCTTATATTCTAACCACAAAATTAAGACCCTTTTCCTCAAAAATTAATTGGAAGTCCTTGCACGGTAACACGAAATGTCGTCATATGTTTTTTTTTTTCAAAACCGTGGAATTCCATGAGGAAGAAATCCCGGCGCGTGATGGAGCCACGATTTCTAGACTTTCCCGTGACATTTGTTTGTTTGAAAAACGTTTTCCTCGCACCGGCCCGTTTCTCATCGGTCGGCTAAGGTATGTACACTCATCAATTTCGATTCATGGGGGACAAAAGAACAACAAAAAAAGGGGGTTCGATGGGAGCCAGGCAAAGCAACCGTTTCGCCTCTCGAGCCTTAGGGGCATCATGCCGAAGGAATATGCCTCCAAGGATGGAATTGATTGGGTTGCTCTCTATGGTGAAGCGCCAATTTTTATTCCTCAAAATGACAATATAAGATTTTCAATGGCTAAAGAAAATGGGGTTCTGCGTATCTATTTTCCCTCTTCTTATTTCCTATCAGAAAGCGAGCGAAATCCTCGAGATTACCAAATTCTCGGCATATAATAGACTCAAGCGACGAGAATCTTGATTCTCTTTTTTGTCCGTTCATTTTATGTAGCGCGACGACGGCTGTCTATCTTTCAATCGGACGGATGATGCATGCAACCGGTAATTCTCCCCATGAGGAGGGTCGAGTCGACGTAGAAGTTTTCTCGGGGTTTATGCGAACTGGTGTGTACTCCTCCTTCTATTTTTGTCTTTTGGGCCATATAATAGGTGATTTATTTATTTATTTATTTATTTATTTAGGTGGGTGGGAAGGAAATTCCGGTGAATTGATCTTTGAGAAAATGCCAAAGGAAAAGGATACTAAGGTCAAATTAATGCAAAATAAAGGGCGAGGGGAAAAAAGAAAAAAAATAAAAAAATAAAAAAAAAGCCCCAACGCCCAAAAGTTGCAAAAAGGTAGGGGAGGAGGGGGGGGGCCGGGGGGCGAAAGAGCCACGGGCGGCGGAGAAGGGGGCCACGTAGCGGCGGGACCCACCATGATGTCTGGTGAGACGGGAGGAGGGTGGGTCCCACCGGTGCTGTTGCGCCTTCCTCAATCGTTGGCTTACGGGAGGCGATGGGGGAGGAAAGGAAGGGAAGGTGGTGTTGCTGTTGGGTGGTGGGGGCCCACCGAAGGGAAGCGCATTTTTAGGCACGTGCCGGACGATCTTCCCCTTTTCCCACCACCACCACCGCCGCCGCCGCCACTAACGACACTCCGCGGCTCTCCGTCCCCAACGGCTCCCCGCCTGCCGGCTCCCCCTCCGGCTCCGGCTCTGGCTTCCCAGGGCTATGCGCCCCGTCTGCTTGAGCTTTCTTATTTATAATCATCGCCTTTTACTTTCCTTTCCCCGTGAATTTTTTATAATAAAACATAAAAAGCATACTTTATTCTTCGCAATTCTCCATACAAAACTCTTTACTCTGATGATGTCGCCGAAAACTCCCGACCAATACACATACACATGTAATAAATTTATTTTTAAAATTTTAAATTAATGTATCTGTGATAAATTTATCCAAAACTATTTTTTAAAATCTCAAACTGATGCAGTTGTGACAGATTTACTCTCCGTTAATTTATGTTAAATTGGATTAATACAGCGAAAAATCACAAACTGGTAAACCCGTGACAAACAGAGAGTTAAAACCCCAAATTGGTACACTCGCCAACTGTTGAATGTTATCCAACTTAGTAATTTGATGATAAAATTTAACGAAAACTAATTGAGGATAAATATGTCACGAGTGTATCAGTTTGAGGTTTTTGGTATTCAAAAAATTAGTTTGAGGTAAATTTATCACGGGTATATTAGTCTGGGTTTTTTGTGATATTATCCAAAAAAAGGGAGGGAGATCAAACTACTCCCCCTACAAATCCACAAACTCTCTTGTAACTTCTAGCCTTCATCACCCGCGTGCATCCCTTGCCTCATCACTGCACGCCGCCGTCGACCACCTACCTCGTCGTGGGCATCGCCAGCGTCGGCTCTCCCTCGCTTGCTTAATCTGGATCTAGCGGCCATACCCACGAGCTCACAAAAAAGGATGTTGACTCTTTTATTTTTGACTGTTTAGAGTCCTTTATTGTTTGCTTTAGAGAATAGAAAATTGTGAAAAATTTAAACATCTATAATTTCAAGAAATTAACGAAAAAAATCGATATGGGTCCACCTGTCGACATCTATGCATTGTGAAAATTTCTGATTTTTTCAAACTGTGGAAAAGTTAAAAGTGTCCCATGCTACAAAGTTTGGATTAAGTAAAATGGAAAAGTCAATATAAACACGCTAATCTCTTCATGGCTGATTAGGTATCCGACACAACTACAATGCCCTTTTCCATAACAAATAATTGCATGCTATAAACATCGAGGATTTTAACTCACGTCTTACCTATCATTCTCATTTTATCGAGTTTATCTTTAGTTAAGAAGTAATTTAAGAGGTTGTGAAAGGTTCTTAAAAAGAAAAAGGTGCCAAAGGGGTCTAGTGTCTTTATTCTGAATTTATGCACTAAGTTCTTTCCTTTCTCATCAATCTAATCTTTTTTTAAGCACTACTAGATGTCCTAGGAATATGAAGAATAAGGCTAGCCATTGATTAAAAAAATTAACAGATACTTTTTTCACAGATAGGGGCAACACTTAAAATGATCTGAATTTAAAAAATAAATTTACACATTGGCCGAATGCAGTTTTGATCTTATAAGTTTTCAATTATGGTGTGATTTGGTTTTTTGATTTTAATTTTGTCCAATCAAATTCTCTATTTCTTTTAGTTTGATCAATCATATCTTTCGATCAGTCACAATCGTTGGCTCCATCAAATTAATGACATGGCATCGCCGATGGGGCACGTGATAGCAAAAGGAAAAGCGAGAGAGAGAGACGGCCATGATGGGGAGGAGATACAAGTGGTTGCGGTGGTGGCCATCGGGTGTGGCCGTTGGGTGCGTGGAGGTTGATTGCAACTATCGTCGAACAGATACATTTCGCATTATATGAAAATAAAAAGCTTCATCTATATTAGGAAGTTGGACGCATCTAAGTATCTCGCATGATCTTCTCCGCTCATTTTCTGCGTACACCTTGCTTTAGGTTATTCGAAACAGAACCCTTTTGAACAACAAACATGATCTGCAACTGCACTGCCTTAAAGGAAATCTTGCCTTTATTAGCACTTGTACTAAACAACTAAGGGATTGGTGCCCAAACGAGCTGGTTGGTGCTGGTCAATCATCGCAGGGTATAAGATGCCCCTCCTCCCAAAAGGGTCGAGCATCACCTAATCCAATTATTCCTTAAGATAAAACTAGCTTTGCTTTACTCCTCCTTTATTTTTCCTTTGGGATAATGATATAAACAGTCCATGAACTTTAGTTAAATGTACAATTTGATCCCTAAACTTTTAATTTGTTTAATGCGGTCCCTGAATTTTAGGCTAATATTCAATGTGGTTCCTGAACTTTTAATTTGTTCGATATTATCCCTAAACTTTTGGTACATGTTCAATTCAGTATCTGAACTATATGAAAATATTTAATGCAGTCCCTGAATTTGAATTAATGGAAATGACTGTATTGAACATTTTCATATAGTTTAGGAACTGAATTGAACATGTATCAAAAGTTCAGGGATGACATTAAATAAATTAAAAGTTTAGGGACCACATTGAATATTGTGTTAAAATTCATAGACTGCATTGAACAAATTAAAAGTTCAGGGACCAAATTGCACATTTGACCAAAATTCAGAGACTATTTGTATCATTTTCCCTTTTTCTTTCCTAAATCAAGAAATTCGAAAACCCCATCAATCCGAGGGAAATCTCAAAGCG